AGGGATGTGGGGTGCATCTGAGGGGGCTGCAGTGGGTAGGAGCCCAGACATGGAACCACATCACCAGGGTTTGTGACACCAACTTGCCTACAACCTAGGCCAGCCAACCTCTCAACACCTCATTTTGAAAGCGGGGTGGCCGTGAGGATTGAGTTAATATTTGTGGGCTTGGGAGCAGTCCTTGTGTGTATAATGGGTGCCAAAGACACCTACCCATTGTTATCTCCTGTCTCCATTTTACATACTGCCAAGTGGAACAATAAACTCACATGTTCTCATGCTATTCTTTTTATCACCCTAAAAGCTAAAAAAATACTACAAGATCCCTAATCCCACAGCGGCTTTTAGACATCCTTGACACCGTTTCCAGCCTTTTGTGCACATTCCTTAATTTTGTTCTTTTCCTTCATACTTGACCACCCAGTTCACGGGGTAATGCCAATGAGCACATATCATTGCTTAAGAATTGCTAATCGCAACAGGATTAATGATCCCCCCGTTACCTGCTCCTCGTTAAGGCCTATGGGACTCACCTGCCTCTTCCCGGGCCACCTCCTGCTGGGCTGACTCTGGAACTGCTCCAGCCAGAAGCTGCCTCCTACCAAGCAAAATGGGCAGCTGGTTCTAGCTTCTCAGGGCGGCTTTTCTGTTCCCTTTCGTTTTTCCTCTTCTTCTCACTGCTCCTGTCTTTGTTCAGGAAGTCCTCAGGGCTCGCCTGTGCTCCTAACTTCGCGAATGCAGAGGGGTTTCCTGGACCCCAGGGTTGACTTGCCCTACAGTCTTCCTGCGAGTCGGCGTCGACCTCAGTTCCCATCCTGGGCACCTTTTTTATTTGTTTGCTAATAAGAATGTTCCTGTTAAAATACAAATGTGTTCACTGTTGGGGAAACCATGAACACCTTTCTAGATCAATATACATCATTAGTTTTTATCCCTGACACCCCCTTTTAAACTTGTGAGACCCCACCCAAGAAGGAAAAAACACAACCAACTCAGCACCCTCACCCTCCAATGCTGCTTTATTTTCCCATGGAACATATCAGCTAACGTGCTGTTTCATTTACTTATTTATTGTCTATCTCCCTCCATTAAAGTAAAGTTCCATGAGCTAAAACAGTGCCTGGCACCTAGGAAGTGTTCAATAAATATTCACAAACAAGTGGGCTAATCGTCTGGCACACCTGGTCCATGCTAGGGAACAGGCTGAGAGTCGATTGTTGTGGGCCCAGAGCGAGCTCAGAGCATGACAGTGAGCATTCAGACACTCTGACAACACCTTGACCTTCCCACGGCATCTAAAGTGCATGGGTGTTTTACTGATAGTTCATTTTTATTGTACTTCTAAAAGTATTGGTCCTATAATGGATTGGATATTAAAAAGAAAACAAAACAAAAGAACAGGTCGTTTGCCACAGATAGTTTCTCTGAGAATCATCAGGCTAGCAAACAAAAGATGTCTGTGAAAAGGCCTGGGATGCAGGAAAAGTACGTTTCTAAGATATAAGTTTAAGCCAAGTATAAACCCAGAGTGTGGGGTGCTGTGTGCATAGCCACCAGAGAGGATTCAGCCACAGCTGAGTCCCGAAGCAATTGGGGCCAGGGGCGGAGGGCGTCCAGACCTGCAGCCATCTGCCCCAGCTGCCTGTCCCCATATCCACTTGCCATGTCACCACACTGTCCAGCACAAAGGGTGTAGGTGGCTGCCCAGCTGCTGGCCATGAGACCTCCTGCCCTTTCTGGATGAGGTGTCCCCACTGTCCCACGGCTTCCAAGTCATGGGTGCTGACCCTGAGATGGGCACTCAATGCAGCTACACCATATGTCTTGAACTTGAGGGCTAAGAAAGAGCTGAGCAACTCTTTCCTGGGGCTGAAATTGTTACACAGAAGGGTCAGGAGCTGTGGACTTGTTCTGCTGAGAGAAGGAGAGCAGAGAAGCAGGTATGCAGAGAAGGAGGCAAAATGGAGACAACCCCAACAGCATTCCAGAATGTTCCAAGTGTCCCAAGACCCATCTACCCTGAGTCTTTGATCCTATGAAAAAAGTCCCCATCCATTAGGCTTGAATAGCATGAGTTGGGTTTCTGTAGCTTACAGTCCAAGGAGATGGGCCTGCCCAAAGGGGACAAACACATGCTCAGGAGTTGAAGCCACATCCTTACATGGGTTTGACAATTTGGGGTTTCTTTCCCCATCCTGGGTCTTTGCTGGCCAGGGCCTGATGGTCAGTGCCTCCGGAGCTTAGACTGGAAGGAGCTGCAGTAAGTCCTGACAGTGTGTTTAGGGACTGGGTCCAAATTCCTGTCTGTTAATAAGTCTGTAGCAAAATGATGAGGTCTGTCATTTCTGTGGCAAAACTGACATTGTTCAGCAAAGTGGAGTTTTGAGGACCGGCCGATATAAAGGGGCTCCTTCTGCAGAGACAGAGTGCAGGGGTCAGCACCATGTGTCTGTTGGGGTGGGAGGCTATGGCCTCCTCTTATTCATTCAGACACTAACCTAGGTGTTCCTGGGAAGGTATTTTGAAGATGTGATAAAAGTCCATAGCTAGTTGTCTTTAAGTAAGGGAGTGTATCCCAGATAACCTGGGTGGGCCTCATCCAATCAGCTGAAAGATCTTAAGATCAGAGCTGAAGTTTCCCTGAGGAAGAAAGAATTCCATCTGTGGCTGGAAGTTCTCGCCAGTGCGGAGGACTCAGTCCGCCGGTCCCATCTGCCAGCCCTAGCATTTCAGACCTGCCTACCCAACCCTAAAATCACGTAAGCCAGTTCCTTGCAATAAATCTACGCACACACACTTCCTCCTGGCTCCGCTTCTTGGGCTGAACCCTGATTGATACACAGTGTATCAGTAACAAGGGCCAAGTTTTGGTGTAGTCAGACCAGGTGTGCCAGACGATTAGCCCACTTGTTTGTGAATATTTATTGAACACTTCCTGGGTGCCAGGCACTGTTTTAGCTCATGGAACTTTACTTTAATATAGCATTGTAGCCATACCAGGCAATCATGAGAGCCTTGAACTCCCATGTATCCAAGTACAGCCATCAGCAGAACTCCTGCACTGTGGGGGAAGCAGCTGAGATTCGTATTTACTTAGGCCTCAGCAGCTCAGTGGGGTCACGTGTCTGTGTCTGGAGCACGCCCTCTGCCAGTCCACAGCAGCTGGTATCAGACTCCGGAGCCTGGCAAAGCTGATACCGTGGCTATCCCTGCACCGCTGTGCAGGCCGCAGACCCGCCACATGACGTGAGGCTACTCCTCACCCAGTCAGTGAAAAGAGATTCCACAAGAAACAGCAAAGGAATCCATGAGCTCTCTGACCCGGAAGAGAAGACTCGGGGCCCCCAGCCTGGCACCACGGGAACAGGACTGCGGGCACGCCGTCGACAAGCTCGGGGAGTGCCCCCCACAGCTTAGCTCAGCCACCGTGGGAGGCACCCTTCACTCTGTGCCCCAGTTTCCTCATTTATGTGATAAACTGGCTGGTTGATTTCTGAGACCCTCCCTCCTCTGGCATCCTGGGGTTCAGTCCACGAGACACCAAACTCAACACCCCCGAACAGCTGCCCGGTCCAGGTGCCCGCACTTGTGTTTGGTGAGCCTCATTCCTGTGGTGCCCCGTCCTGTTCTGGAATCCCCAAACAAGCTTTGAGAACCTTTGAATTTCTTAAATGACGTGCAAGGCCTCACCGGCCGCTGGTCGCACGGTGGGGCCCGCAGCAGTGCGCCTCAGGGACCCAGCTCGCCAGGGCCGGGATTTGGGCTCGGTCCCAGGGCTGCGCTCCCGCTCATGTGCCCGCTCCCCCTGGGTCTTTCTCTCTAGTGCACAGACATTTGATTTTGGCCTCAGTACCTGCCCCTTTACTCTGTCTTTGCCGAGGAAACAGTGGGAAATGGCTGCCCCATCAGAGGGCTTGGAAAAAAAGCTGCTGCCCTCAGGAATGTTCCTCACATGGAGACGTTACCTGGCATGGGAAACAGCTGTGGAAAAGCCACCACAGCGCTCCGCCAGGACGCGAGATGCCAGTAGGTCAGGGACCCACTCACCCGAGTGGAAGGTGCCTGGCGCTCTCCTCTTCACCCCAACCTTTCATTAGCTTGAGAATCTGCTTCTGCTCCTCTTAAGTAATTTATGAAAACAGCCACAACCCTTGAAGGTTTGATGACTCAAGTTACCCTAGGGAACGTTAAAATGGACAAAGCTGTCTCTTTGCTTTGAATGTGCACAGATATTTGACATGAGCCGTGAAACACAGAGGAAGCCTCTGGCTTCCCAAACCTAAGGCTGAGGCCCGGGGAGGGAGCCCCCGCCCGCCCCCGCCCGCCCCCGAGCACTCGCCACTCTTCCCATGCGGAAGAAGCTGTAAATGATGAAAACCAAATGCCCTGGGACCTCTTGGAAATCAAAACAATGACAAAACAGGGGGAGCAGAACTTTCCTGCACAAAAGGTGCTGCACTTTGTCACGGAGCCTGGAGACGTTTCCTGGTTTATGTTTAGGCATGTGAGTTATTTTCAGGGGCAGGGGCACAGGTGTTTATGAAGCTGGAGAGGAGAGTGTATGAAAACGCACACATGCCAGGCCTTTAGAATAAAAACGGACTCTCCTACCTGGAACAAGGAATTCGGGGAACCAGCTGTGCGGCTGGGCCTGGTTGGTCTTTGGACGGACTCGGTGTTTTGGGGGTGGCCCTCCAAGTCTTCCAGACCGTCACGGCTCTCCTGCTTCTTAGACCTTCAGATAGATTTGGAGTGAACTACACCACAGCTTTGCTTACTGGCGTGGAGAAGGCGTGGAGCCTCTTAATACACTGTTGGGATGACCCCTTAAAGCCTGCACATTATGAGGACCTGCAGTGAATCAGGGAGAGAGGCTGGAACTGTCCTGGCAGAGCTCAGAGGGGTCAGGGCACTGAGCGAGATTAAAGAACTCACCACCTGACTGTTCCCCGGGAAGGTCCAAAGGACACTCCTTTACAAAAGCAAGAAAAATGCTTTGGTGAGAGGGGCATTGACATATCTGAGCTGCTCAGGGGTAGCGTCCCCTGTGGGCCTGGAGTTGACAGGAGGGGCAGCCATGGACCTGGGAGACCAAGAATTGGATGGGAGACGTCCAGCCGCCCGACACCTCTCTGGGGGGCCCTGCTGCCTGGTGCCCTCCAGGCTGTGAGTGGGGTGCCTGGGACAGGAAGGGGACAGAGCTGCCATATTCTCATCCCCTGCAGCTGGCCGCTTGGGCTGGGCGAGAGCCGCGGCCCAGCTGGGGCGCACACCCTGGACCCGGCTCAGACGTGCCCCCGAGAGGGACCAAGCCGATTAGAGAACAATGCCTGACAGAACTGTTTACTGGATTACATTGAGTTAAATTTCATTTTCTTTTCGCCAAGAAGGAATGAGAACCTGTCAAAGGAACATCCAAGGGCCGATGAAAGAGAATTGCATGCTTGCACACCGGATTGACAACAGTCAATTCGCCTCCTGCTCTAAGACAAAAAGATTAACAATGCGTGAGCTAAGCGTTGAACTCAAACAAAAGGACAGCGACTACCACACAAGAAAGAAAGAATGCAGAGTTAATAAAGAAGCAGGTATGAATGGACTGGTCCGCCCCAACCCAAGGAAAACTCATTCTAGATCTGCAATAAGATGAAGAGCTGGATATTTGGAAAGATCAACAAGACAAGCAAATGTCTGGCAAGATTAATCCAGAAAAGAGAGAAACCACGAATGCACATTAGGAATGAGAAAATGGTTCGAATAAAAAATGGAAGGGTTCAAAGAGATGAGATCGGTACGTACCATTTCACGCCTATAATCTGAAAATCTAGAACAGTGTCTCCTGATCATGCTGTGTTCACCCAGGAAGGGGAGGCAGGTGGCCAGCAGGAAGCCAGCAGCTGTTCTCTCTCTCACACACTCACACTCACACATGCACACGCAGAGTGGCCCGTGAAACGACAGCCTCCCAAGGCCCTCTACGAGTCACGCTCTCTACTTCCCGGTAAGTGACCGTCCGCCCCTGCTATTTCCCTGCTTCCTGCTCACTGCCCTCTGAAGGGCTAGGTCATAATCAAACACAGGCCATGTGCATGTAAGCAAATGTACACTCGGCCTGCTGACAGTCCAGGAGAACATTTGCCCAGAAAGCAAAAGAAAGGGAAAGCTGGGCTGCAGAACATGCATGGGCTTCATTAGACTTAAAAAAGAAGTTTGTTTTTTTTTTTACAGAAATATAGCATTTGTACAGAAAGCACAAGAGCCCAGCTCAGTGTTTTTGGGATGATTCACAGCACAGGAAGCCAGCATCAGGGGTACAGGGGTCTAGCCTGGTTCCAGGGATGTTTAAAGGGAAACATCCCTTCAAGAGCTATTTAAATGACAAAGAGATGTTGTGGGGTTTCAACAAAGAGGAAAAGGTGTGTCAGACATAGGAAGTGGCTTTGAAAATGATTAGATCAAAACAGAAATAGTTTGAGCAGGCACAGCTGCAAAGAGCCGTGCTCCCAGACGGTCCCCACGGCACACCCGTTTGTCATGGGATCGTAGTAAGTGTGGCTTTGAGGAAGTGCTGCCCCCGACTTCAGATGCCAATCTCAAGAAGCAGGCTCCCAGGGCCCCCAGGACTTCTGTCCAACGCGGCTACTAGATGGAGGTTCTCATGATCCCTTCTAGGGTCTGATTAATTTGCAAGAGCAGCTCACAGAATGCAGGGAAACACTTAGTTCAGTTTACCAGGTCATGAAAGGATACGATAAAGGATGCAGGTGAACAGCCAGATACAGAGACACACAGGGCGGGGGCTGGGAGGGTCCTGAAGAATGCTCGGGGGCAGTAAAGCCGAAGAGAGGGAGCCGGGGTCCCAGGTCTCCTCCTGCACGTCTGCCACCCCCCCGCAGCAGGTCACCCCTAATGCCTCTGCCGTCTGTGTCAGTTTAGCCAGGGTTCTCAGACGCGCAGGGCCAGCAGGCCCCAGACAGCTCGCCTCCTCTCCCTCCTCACCACCATTGCCCGGGACGCAGAGAGGAGCCCCTCCCGTGGGAACTGAGTCGGCCGCCCCTCCATCCTGGAACGCCCCCCCACCCCCCAGAACGGTGAGGAATGCATTCCTGTTGGTTAAGACGCCTACTCTGTGGCCTTTTTGTCACAGTAGCCAGAGCGGACTAAGACCACAGAGGGAACAGACACAGACCAAACAGGCAACTTCGAACCAAAAAGCAAGACTTTCTAGTTTCCAATATATAAGGGCGCCCATGAGTTACTTAACAATGTGGGCAGGCCCAGGCAAGGCTGCTTGATCTGGAGCCCATGGAGGGGCTCAGGCTGACGGGACTCCACCAACTTGGCACCTGCGCTTTCTGCACGGCTTCCCGACTGTACGGAGGCAGCTGGAGCTTGAATTCGCTTCACAGAAGAAGAACCACTTGCCTGGAGGTTCTTGGGTGATGAGACATAAGATTCTGTCAGGCTAGAACTTGCCTCCACAAAGAAACTACAGTTTATCATATCAGGAGGGCTGATGTATCAAGACCAGAGTTCTTAACAGCGGTGGTCTTTGCCCCCAATTCAGAAAACAAAGCGAGACCCAGCTCTGACTCCCAGGAGGGATGACCAGCAAGCCTTCCAACAGGTGTTACGCGATGCCTCCAGGAGGGACTGGCTTAAGGGGTGGAAGGCACAGTAAAGGAGGAAATGTCAGGCGTGACATGGCTCTGCTACGCTGGAGGGACCGGCGCTGGCAGCACAGTGCACCTGAACGCGCCTGGTGATGTTAGGTCCACATGCCCGACAGAAGAGGCCTTCATGCCTGCTGCCCCATCAATACAGGGTTACATTATCTGAGAGGCCGCCTGACTTCGTTTCCAAGGAACTGTGTCCTGCTGGCGGCTGGGTAGATGGCACAGAGGCAGGCAGGTTGTGCCCGCGTGGCCCACCCACCCAGTAGAGTGCACTCATGTCCTTCAGCGACGTGGAGGATGCAGCCGTGCCAGGATGGCCTGTGTTAAACGCAGGGGTCGGTCCCTGCCAGCGGCAGGCACCCTGCAGCCGCCCTGGCACAGCAGTGCAGGGCAAGGCTCTGAGCAAGGGCTCCTGGGGAAAGCCGGGGAGCCCCTTGAGCGCTGGGCCACTTCCTGTCTCTGGACGGTTCTCAGGAAGAGCTCTTGGCCTACAGTTCTCAGGATCACATCATCATTTTAATGACAGTGAAAAAAATTGTGACCTCATATCCACACTGTCTGTAACTGTCTATTCCTTCATGAAAGGCCATTCTCCGGCAGGTGCCCACAGGTTTTCAGAGTGTCTCCCTGAAGACACAGGTTCCTGGCAAAATCTGACAAGGCAGACAGGGAACAGAATTTGAAATTGCTAGGACTGCTCCCGGGCAATTCGGGAAAGGATCACCGTGCCCGGACAGATGATCTCAGGGAGCCTGACCCACCAGGGAGGGGCTTTAGGGTCAGCTCTACATTCCCAGCATCGCGGCTGCCCCGGGCCGGCCTCCTGTCCCAGTCAGTATGGATCGCCGGATCTCAGAACCGACCCCAGGAAACCTCCTGCCCCTCTTCAGGCCTATGTACTCTGCAGTATATGGTTCCACTTTCCTTCTAAATAGTCACAAAGAAAAAAATCACAGACCTCAAGGATACAAGTGTCTAACAGGCATAACGTCGCACCAATTATTCCAGGAATTTTTTAAGTTTTTGTCCTTATTTGTTCATAAATGGTGAATGACTTTATAATAAAAATTCAGATTTATACCATGGTAACAATAAAACTATAAAGGACCAAAAATGTGATTAAAAGATGATTTCAATTCTATGACTTTCTGGAAAAGGTAGAACTGTGGAGGCAGTGAAAACACTGGTGGCTGCCAGGGGTGGGAAGGGAGGGAGGGTGACCGGGCAGAGCACAGGGATGTTTAGGGCATGAACTACTCTGCACGGCACTGTAACAGTGGGTCCGTGACATCACACTTTATCCGAGTCACAGACTGCATATGGCTGGAGTGGGTCCTGACGTAAACATGGGCTCTGGGTGGTGGGACCCGTCCATGTAGGAACCTACAACCAACCATGACAAACGCACCCCCCACCGGGTGGGAGATGGATAACGGGGAGGCTGTGCCCATGTGGGGGCAGACAGTGTGTGGGAGAGCTCTGTGCCTGCCTCTCAAGTTTGCTGCAGTACTAAAACTGCTCTAAAAAAACAGTCTGTTAATGAAAATGAAAAATGACGAGCAGGATTAACTTGAGTGTGATGAGGAAGTGAGCCCCTGACTGGGTTTTCTGGCAGCCAGGATGAAGAACAGAGTGGACAGTGGTGCCCAGAGACCCCGGCTTGCTTCACTCAGAATTATGAGCAGAAGGGTCTGTGGGGTCCTCCTCTGGGGCCCATGGGACAGGACCAGGCTCGGCAAAGCTGCCTGTGCTCACAGCCCCCGGGGGTTTTCAGAGACGCCAGCCAGGGCACTGCTGCCTCGTCGACCTCAGCTCTAACTGGCCAGGACCGAGTGGTCACAGGGGACTGGACTGGGTGTCAGAATTGGACCCTGAATCCAGACGTTTTCACTAAACTGGGGGAGCGCTTGAGTCACATGTAGGGCCCTTTGACATAAAAGCCTAAGAGTTGGACATCTCCCAGGTACAGTCAAGAATGACAGAGGAGAAGCCCCACAGAGCTTCCAGAAGAAGGGCCTTTGGTGCTGGCCAGGGACAGAGCACGCCTAAGCCCACCAAGCTCTCTGAGCTTTAAGGTCTCCGTGTGAAAGACCAGGCACGGTCCTTCCTCCCTGGGTGATTCACGGGCAGCGAATGAGAAAAGCTCCCAAGGACATTGCCTAGTGAGACACAAACTGCTGTGAAATTAATATTCAGTGTGATTATGTGAAACTTGGCAGGCTGTACAATTAAGAGCATTACTTCCCAAACAGAGAAGAGTCAGGGTGGTGGGAATGGCGATGGGGAGCCCGGGTCCTGGCAGGGAATATGGCGTGAGGATCGAGAAGACCCCTGGGGATGGGGAGGCTAGCCTGGGACCTTGGGGAGGAGCAGAAGCGCCCTGGAGAAGAGGGAGCCGTGAGGACTCCCTGGCAGAAGGCAGAGGGACTGCGAGGGCCGCCAGGCAGGACGCAGACGGCCCGCGAAAGACACGACAGCAAGTCGGAGGCTGGAAGAGGGAAGGAACCTGGAAGTGGCACGAAAGAGCTGGGACTGGGAACTAGATTTGGAAGAATGTGGAGCTGGCCAGAGGGCGGGACAGCCAGTGAAGTCAGGAAGCGCTGGGGTCTGAGCAGGCAGTCTGAGAAAAGGGGTGCTCCAGAGAAGGGCAGGGCTGGCCCACAGCAAAGGAACACTGGTTCACCTGAGATGCCACCTGCAGAGGCAGCCACAGCACACAGGTTTAGAAAACGTGACACACTCTGGACATTTGCAGAAATTGAGAAGGCCTGCAGAAGAGACACTGGCTCTGTGGCCCAAACCAGCATTTCCCAGGTCTGTTTGAGTAACACCCAGGAGCATTCATCGACACCCGGCAGGATGCTAGACTCCAGGTGATCGCTGGGGAGATGGTGTAGACAATCACAGAATAAAGAATATCAGCTGATGGGGGCCCCCTCTGGACCCCCTGCAGCGGGGCACACCCATGATTCAGTGGTGGGGGACTTGCTGTGGGCCCACCTCAGAGACACCAGGAAAGTGGATCAAGGATTTGGCAACACTTTATGGGTCTGGATTAGTGGCAAAAAATAACAGATGAGTCGATTTCTGTGAAGAGAGTTTTTGCTTTGAAGCTAGACTTAGACTTGAATCCAATCTGGACACACAAGTCCATCTGGAACTTTGTTCTGGTTACCTAACTACCTCGGTTTCCTGGGATAACCAGTCCATCACCTTGTGAGAGTTAAATGTGAAGACGAGAATGAAAAGGCCCAGAGCACAGGCACTCGGTGAGCCGTAGTTATGTCTTGCTTGAGATCCCAAAGAAATGAGGCTACTGTGCATA